TCTGCACCACCAATGGACTCCTCACGAACACCTACATCAGCTCACCGTCTGCACCACCAATGGACTCCTCACGAACACGGACATCAGCTCACCATCTGCACCACCAAGGGACTCCTCACGAACACGTACATCAGCTCACCGTCTGCACCACCAATGGACTCCTCACGAACACAGACATCAGCTCACCGTCTGCACCACCAATGGACTCCTCACGAACACGGACATCAGCTCACCGTCTGCACCACCAAGGGACTCCTCACGAACACCTACATCAGCTCACCATCTGCACCACCAAGGGACTCCTCACGAACACCTACATCAGCTCACCATCTGCACCACCAAGGGACTCCTCACGAACACCTACATCAGCTCACCATCTGCACCACCAAGGGACTCCTCACGAACACCTACATCAGCTCACCATCTGCACCACCAATGGACTCCTCACGAACACGGACATCAGCTGCACGTTGCCTCCTGTGCCTGTGTCATCACTCCCTCCTGCCGAGTCCCACCCCCAACCCCCACCCGCCACCACTGGTCTGCATGCTCTACGACTTCACAGAGGTAGAAGCACATACTATCCACTCTTTTTAGTCTGGGTTCTTTCACTCACCATAATTATTTCTGAAATTCATCAATAGTGTTGCATGTAACAATACTCCATTCTTTTTTTTATCATTGTGTGAATATAAAAATTGTTTATCCACTCAACTGTTGATGGGAATTTGTTTCCAGTTTGGGGATATTATAAATAAAACAGCTATTAATATTCACATACAAATCTTTGTATGGACACAAGCTTTCATTTTCCTTGGGTAAATATTTATGAGTACAATGGCTGTGTTATATGACACGTATATGCCTAGCTATTTAAGAAACTTAAAACTGCTTTCCAAAGTGAATGAGAGCTCCACTTTTTCCACAACGTCACCAACGTTTGGTATGATGATCTTTTTAAATTTAGACATTGTAATAGGTGCTTAGTGGTATTTCACTGTACTTTTAATGTGCAACTCCCTAATGACTAATGATACTAAGCACTGTTTCATGTGCTTATTGGCCATCCATTCCTTGGCAAAGTATCCAAATCTTTTGCCCATTTTTAAAATAGAGCTGTTTGTTTTCTTATTATTATGTTTTGTAAGTTCTTCATGTATTTTGAATACATGACCTTAATCAGACATATGACTGCAAATATGTTTTCCCAGTCAGTGACACATCTTTTTAGACTCATAATGATGTCTTTCGAAGAGAAGTTCTTAACATTTATGAAGACCAATTTATCATATTTTTCTTTAATGGATCATACTTTTG